GAGGTAGAGGACCTGGCCACCTCTCAAGGGAAAGGCAAGGCAGATATACAAACTGTTACTGCTGCCACTGGAATTGGAACTCGCACCTGCTGCTGACGATGGGTGGGGGGGGGGGGGGGGGGTGGGAGCACTTATTGAATGTCCAGAGTGCTGTGATGTTGATTCTTAGTTCAACATATTCTAAGTAAAAAAAAAAAAAATTTTTTTTTTAAAGTAAAGGTCCCTTTTCCACGCATTTAGGTGTATAAAGCATACAGGACTAGACCTATATTTTTACAGACCAATCGGCACAAGATGGGTGATGAGGTCAGCATCACGCCACATATTCTAAGCCAGGACATAAAGTGTATGGTGTTCTCTGTCTTATCCCCCACTTTCTTCACAAACAATTCCCAGAAAAAACCTAAACATTGCCCGAGGCCCATTTGGATAAGGCTGGGCCGACCCTAGAGATGAGCTAGAGGATAGCAGCAAATCTCTGACACAGTTTTGTGTACTGGGAGTAAAGCATGGTAAAGCACGTCTGTTCCACTTCCAAAACCGAGACAGGAGACATTATAACCAGTTCCTAGTGGGAACAATTAGCAGAGGTAACTTAGACTTGCGGTTGCATCAGAAGACTGAGCCTGCATGGGCATGCTCACAGTGCAGTAACATGGATTATGATACCATATCATTAACACAAACACTGGAAAAAAAAAAGAAGAAATACATAACTGAGGCTAAGGGACACATCAATAATCTAAAAAACAACACAGTGACTAGAAAGCTCAACAGAGGAAATGAAAAAAAAAAGACCTTGTATAAATACAATCAAATGTTATGATTTGATTTGATTCAAGAACCGTCATCACAGCACTCGTGGCATTCCCATAAGCGCTCCGCCCTCATCTTCAGCAGCCAGTGAAGAGTTCTGATACTAATGGTGCCAGTAGCATTCTGATTAAACGTCCGTCTTGCCTTTCCTCAGAGCCTCGAGCATCTGCCAGAACCTCTCAGTCACTCCCCCCTGCATCAATCTCACCAGACTGTGGTGATCCATCTGCTTCTCCGAACTGTACACGCTCTCCCACAAGGCACTCACCATGTCGGCCTTATTCAAACGTTATGACCAAAGACTATAACAACTGATTACCAAATACAGCATAAAACTCTCTAAGTTGTATACAGTACTCTGTTGAGAAAGACTTGGTAGAAACATTTGGCTGCATTTGTGTTAAGTCTTTCATTTCCTCCTATGACCTTTCTAGCAACATTCTGTGCTTATTTTGTAATTTTTGATATCACCTTGACCAGAGTGACTGCTAATTGCATAAGTCAACTGTCAATCTCCAAGCATTACATGTTACATCAGAAAAAGGCTGCATTATGTATCTGAAAATCAATATGCTAAAGATAAAAACTCTGTTGCAATGGAATGTACATGGAAACCTGGTTAACTAAGAACCAAATAACCTTCCATAGATTACCATTTCATTGTAGTAACATCACATGGTTTTTTAAAAAGTGCCATTTCTCTGCATAAAATACATTCATAACAATAGTATGATAAGATAAAAACAATGGAACAATTTGTCGTTATTTTCTTGAAAAAAATTTCAGCTTATATAAATGTGACTGTCCTGCTTGCCTCAAGCTGAGAATTGTGTATAGCAAAGCAATGCCAAATTTTACTACATATGTTATTCTATTGTCTGTAGCCACCCTCTTCACATTTTAAACTGAATATTTTATGAAGGATTGCACCCATTTAATTTTACACAATTCATCTGCGTAAGTGAGTTTTTTTTAATGTTGTTTGATAAACAAATTTTTAAAAAGTCCAGCGAACAATAACTTTCACTATTTATTATAAATTCTTGGCAAGTTAGGTACAGCTTACTGTAAAATTCTGTTTAATTACACATACACAAATAGTGAGAAATACAATCTTATCATAATACTTATTGGTTTGTTATGACATTGTACATAACTGAACATTGGATAACCCACTGCATGCTCTGTTATCTCATGCAGCAGCCATCCCTTAGTTCTAAATAAGAGGCTGATTGAGAAGCCTCTTATCTTAACCTAAAATATGGCATAGATGTTCTTGGCCCAGACCTCACTCCCCAGGTCATGCAGTTCAGGCAGCAGCAGAAAGATCTGTGTCTGCCAACACAGCCCTACAGTACTAACTATATCATCTATAGGGTGCTGTGTCAGCATTCTTCTGCATGAATTACTGCACAACCTGCCAGCTGATCTGCCTATTTATTACCCTCTACCCCCTCATATATGTGACCTGACACGCCAGCCTGCAACTGCAAATGTTATGAAATAACCCTGGCCAGTTTACTACTGAACATGTCATCATAGACTTTTACATAGTATAATTAATCCAAACAATTCTCATGAGTAGCAATGGAAACAAAATTATTTTACATAGTAAATATACAAATACAAAATAAAGGGATTTTCAGAAAGAAGAAAACTTCACAGCACCTCAAAACTACATTTAATTAAATATATCGAAATACAAGTATCACACACATGTAGTACAATTTGGATTAAATAAAAGAAAGAAAATAGCAAATCAAAGTTTGCTAATAATGAAAACAAAGAAGTGTTCATGCCTGCTTGGATATAACTCACTAGGATTTACCAGCCAGGACAATATACAATTATATAATTCAAAACAATGTTTCCCGTTGTAAATTTAAATAATAATCGGACACAAACAGTGCATTGCTGCACAATTTATTGCCTGGCATATTTTGTTGTATCTCGCCAGATGAGTTACTACAGAGTTACATAAACATATTATGGAGCAAAAAATGAATATTTTTGTGTTATCACACACGGAATAGATGTTTGCTAAAAGTGATAGACTATATCAATAAAACTCTAATCTCCTATGTTTTGTAAACAGAAAGATCATGTGATCAATTTGAAGTTACCATGGCAATCATGTGACTGATTTCAAATTTTCGGCAGATAAATATACAGCAAACTGACAATGTGATTTATGCATTTCAACAAGAAAAAGATTCATTTTGTGCTTCATTATATGTTAATTTAACTCTGTAGTAATGCACCTGATGAGATACAGTCAAAATATGCCAGGCAATAAATTGTGCAATATACTGTTTGTGTCCACATTATTTAGAAAGATATAAGTTACTCAAATGTCCACTCTGTATGGCTAAAATGTGCAGAATGAGTCAAAAATATGGCTGGAAAGACATAAAACCGAACGAGAAGTAGATCAGTGAGCATCACAATACAATAAAGTAAAGGACCCTTTTCCACGCCTTTAGGCATATAGGGCTAGACCTATATTTTATAGACCAATCGGCACAAGAGGGTGATGTGGTCAGCATCACGCTGGCCGACTGGGATTCACAATATAAGGAACACAAACTAAACTTGACCATTGCGGCTACAGAGCCTTCACCAGCAGATACATAAATCAATATGGCTACACATTCTGGTGTGCATGTAGCACAAAGCAAAGATGGCCCTTCCAAAGCACTGCTGATTATGCAGTGATATGAATGAGGAGCTGTTTGAGGCAACTCTTAGTATTACTGTGTATTATGTTCTTCTGTCTGGCGTTCACTGACTGGAAACTCTGGCGGAAAGTTCTGTTTGTTCCCACCTGACGACACCGACCTTGTTGCAAAACAAGCTGTGTATTGTTAGTCTGAAGTATTGTCTCAGAAGGCAGGGAAAAGTAACTGACTGGAACACTCCATCCAAGACACAGTCAAGAAGATCAAATCAACCTTGTCACATGAAAGAAAAAGACTGCATACTGGACGTAGGTGGGTTGGGGTTAGGTCCAGTTCTATGTGATTTTGGGGTAGTTAAAAGCCCCACAAAGCCAGGAAACCCGGTCTTACCACCCTATACAATATTGGACTGTCCCCGTAACGTCATCTGGAGTGACTTATTACAGAAGAACCCAACTTAGAGCATGAGGGCAGGCACCATAGAATACTGAAAATCTGCTGCTCTCTACATGCAGCAGAGAGATCCCAGGGGTTTGGCCATTTGGGATTTCATTGAAAACCAAGTTGTATGGAGCAGTGGAAAACATGCTCCGCACCACAGACTTGAAAGAGACCTAGGGCCTTCTTAACTTGAAAATTACTGCCAGGGAGAGCAAAAGGAAGAAGTATTGCCGGCGCTTTATTAATATCCTTCCCTAAACATGGGAAATCCACAGGTTACGGGACAGAGATAGGCTGCATGCAGTCGTGGGACCTAGGTTACACTCTCTCGTGGAAAGTAGGTGGGTTGGGGTTAGGGCCAGTTATAATGTTTTGGAGTCGCTAACAGCATCAGAAAACTGAGAAACCCAGTCTTACCACCCTCTAAAACGTTGGACTGTCCTGTGACGTCATCTGGGGTAGGATATTAATAAAGAACCGTATTGCCTTTCCTATTAAAAAAATGTGTTTATACTATCTAGGAGTGCAGCATGAAAGACACCCCCCACCCACCCACTGACTCAAACAGCGCCTATTGAATACAAATCCAGTAGGTGAAATCTCAGACACCCTGTTCAATCATGTGTGGATTATCACCAACTGTTTGGATGAGAATCTAGCCAGTGAAAACATGGAAACCCTATTCAACAGTATAAAACAGGTTGTGTGTTAATCTGTGTACAAGACAATATATTGTCCACAACTGTTCACATTTGAAACTGGTGGTTTTCTTATACTTGGAATGTGTTTAAAATATTTATTACTCATTTTTGGGCTCAAAAACTAGAAGCTGTCTTATGTATGGGGGCGTCTTATAAAGGGGAAAATAAGGCATATAAGGGTACCTTACAGTTTAGACAAATCTTTGTCCTTTGTGGGTGGGTGCCCGTCTCATTTGGATAGCCATAATACAGTCATGTAATTAAACATGCTGTAAATCAAACATATAGTCATATTTCTGAAACATCCTACGCATATCATGGAAAAAATACTTGAAAAAGAAATTTATCTGGGGGCAAAAAAAAATCACGCAGACTGGTGTTGGGCATGCTTAAGTTTATGTGGCGCCATCTGAGATGGCCCCAGAACTGAGTGACCACATCCAGGGAACGTACAATGATAGTGAGTCTGTTTGCGGAAATACGAGCAGGCAGCTATTTGGCAATCAGCCGAGCCTGCATACTTGATAAACCCATTGCTGCTGATGTTGTCCAGTTTGGTGTGGTACTTGCGGTGGGCAGGGACCTTGCTGGAGTCAGCACAGGAGTACGGGCACTTCAAGCAGTGGAAGTGGGAAGCCTTCTCGTCAAACTCACAATCGGCCCGGTCACAGGTGACAGACGCCCTGTACTGCTGGAACTCCCCACCCATGAGGGCGTCGAGCCGCTCGTGCCTGACGCGGTGCTGAATGATGCGTGACTTGTCACTAAAGCCGTAACCACAGTCAGCGCGCACACAGTGAAAGTGTGTTACAGTCTGCCTGTAAGCACACCGCACATGCCCGCAATCCTCACCGCAGCGGACTCTTTTAAACCCATCTGGAAGGTCAGACTCACTCCTAACCCCCCACTGCAATTTTCTCTTCTTTGAAGGCTTTGCAATCAGCAAGTTATTAGTGCAGACAAAGTCCTCATTCTTGGAGGCCACACGCTTCCTGCCAGACTTCCTGGACAATGACAAGCAGAGTGTCAGGCTAGAGGAAGAGGCATCAAGAGATGACTCGTAACTATCATCTAAAACATCATCAATGACCAGAGAAGGAGAGTCCAAAGATCTGTCATCATGCTTGGATTCACTGACATGACCGACGCCGACATCTTCACTGTCATCATCTACATATGACTCTGCTGTCTCCTGATTGCATGTCAATGGCTTGGGATCACACCTTGGCTTGGGATCACTGCTATTAAACAGTTTAGCAGCAGCCCTGTCTGAATTACCATTCACGTAAGAAAGATCACTTTCTGCTGCATCTGCTCGTTTTACCATACTGGTAAACATAGAAGGCTGAAGGTTGAGAGATGATGACAGCTCTTCACTGGTCACAGCACAGACATCCTTTGATTTGATTCTGTTTGTGGAGACTAGAGTCTCCAAAGACAAATCTATAGGTTTGGCTACAGTCTGTTTTTGGTCTACAAGTTCTGGGCTAATACTTTGTTTTGCTTTATGCTCAGGTTTCTTAAATTTAAACCCATGTTTACTTATATGAGCCCGCAGTCTTGCTGAAAATGAAAAGGCCTGATTGCAATCTAGACAATGGTAGTGATCCTTCTTCTTCAGCTTGCAAAATGGGCGTCCACAGTTGAGATCCACAGAGTAATGCATTCTCCTCTTGAGGCTGGCCCAGTTTAAGGCGCCGGCTACACCATCTTGCAGCTGCTGCTGTTGTTGCTGCTGCTGATGAAGGAGGACAGTCAGCGGTGGTGTTGAACTCGGATTAGTTGTTGCACTGCTGGATGCTGATGAAGTGCTGATGGGGGCTGGTGCAGAGGTTGTCAGGGTAGTGATAGTGGTTGGGCTGTGGATGACTTGGAAAACCCCTCCTCCTAGGATTCCCCCACCTGAATGAAGGACATGACCTTGGGAAGCTGTAATGAGCTGTGCACTGGAAATGCTTACCAGTGGAGTTGCTAGACAATGCTGGGACATCTGCCCCACTGGGATGAGGCCGGTCAGTAGGTTCGTCTGCTGACCGTGAGCAGATGAGGTCAGTAACGGTATGGATGTTGAAATTAGGTTATGAGGCAGCGTTAACAGGGTTCCTGGTGAGAAAATGGCCGTGCCATCCTGCGCATGGAACACTTGTGCCCCAGTAAGGATCTGCGTGGGGGTAGCCCCACCGAGGGTCAAAGGAGTAGTGGACAGAAGTGGTCCTGTAGTTCCAGAAGTTAAAACCTTGGAGTTGCTTATAGACGGTGACGCCAGGGAGCTCATTTTGAAGCTGGTCATCCCAGACAGTGGGAAAAAAGTCCCGGCAGATTTCACTGTTTTGCTACAGTTAGGAGAAGTGATTGTTGGGGTCGGAGGCGCTGAGGCCGGCTGGGACACCGCTGGGGCTATGGGTACAAACTGAGAAGGAACCACTTTGGTGCTGGGGGCTGGAACGGTTTTTGTGACCGGCACTGACAAAACTGCCGATGTTACAGTTGGATGCTTCTTGTTATGCTGCGACATTGTACTGTGACGAACAAAAGAATAGTCGCAATGTGGTCGCATACAATGAAAGTGACGATTTATTTTATTGTTGTGGCACACTGGCCTGCGACAGTTCACAGTCCTTTCAAAGAACTCGTATCCATCTAGTATGGTGATGTTGTTGTGGAAATCTTTAGCGTGAAGGTTCAAAACATCCAGTCTGTCTGTTGACATGTGACAGTACTTGCGACCGCAATGGAAGTGATCCTTTCCTTTGTAAATACACTGGTCGTCAGGGCAGGGGTCTGAAGCCACACATTTCTTGAAGCCGTTGAATATTTTGCTGTCTTCGCCACACTTGTTGTGCATGAAAGCCAGGGTGGAATCTAGGATTTCCTTCTCTGTCAAGTGGACCTTTGGCACAACTGGGAGATCATATTTGGGATACTTTGGGGGTCGGCCTCTGCGCTTCTGAAGTGGATCCATCTCTACCTTGGAGCCTGAAGACAAGAAAAATAAAATTCAGAAACTGAGACATTTAACATATGTGTTAACAGATTAAAAAAATCACTCACTGTATCTCTGTGTCAGTGCATGTCAGAAAAAAGGGGGAGGGGGAACTAAAAAAGAAATGAAAAAGAAGGGAAAGAAAATGAGTTAGAGAGAGAGAGAGAGGGAGACAGAGAGAGGGGGAGGGGAAGCAGATAGAGAGAAAAGGATAAATGAAAGTATCTTTGTCATCATTAATAGTGTCAAATCGCCAGCAGCTGGGATTGATCCTGGCACCTCAACATTATATAGCGCGTTCACACAGATGCCGACACAGTGGGGCAAACTGAGCTAATTTTATGTGACTAAATAACAGAAGCATACTCCCATCTTTTCTTCCCCGTTAAATTAAGGTACAAATGTAAAGAATCTTCTTAACTTACAACTGAGTTCTGTATAGACTAACAGGTATCGCAACTAGAATTTATATCTGTCAATACTATTTTTATTCAAACAGGTTATACAAATTGTACACAAAACTCACAAATTCAGTCTATGTATGTATAATTATTGTACATAATGTGAAAATACATAATGTATACTCTATTGCATCAGTTCCAGGAACTTTCTGTCACTACCTATGTAGTTATCTTTCATTACTTACTATTTTGATTCATCCTTACTTACTACTTGATTCATCATTACTTACTATTTTGATTCATCCTTACTTTCTATTTTGATTCATCCTTACTTACTACTTGATTCATCATTACTTACTATTTTGATTCATCATTACTTACTATTTTGATTCACCATTACTTACTATTTTGATTAATCATTACTTACTATTTTGATTCATCATTACTTACTATTTTGATTCATCATTACTTACTATTTTGATTAGTCATTACTTACTATTTTGATTCATCATTACTTACTATTTTGATTCATCATTACTTACTATTTTGATTCATCATTACTTACTATTTTGATTTCATTATTCTATTTTGATTCATCATTACTTACTATTTTGATTCATCATTACTTACTATTTTGATTCATCATTACTTACTATTTTTTCATCATTACTTAATATTTTGATTCACCAAATTTTGTGAGTGTGTGTATTTGTAAGCACTGATGGTCGTAAGTCACATAGGTCGTAAGTCACAAAAGAACGTTAAGTTGAAGGGAAGGTATATTATGTGACAAAATGTAGTGTGTGGTTACCTGCGTTTGAGAAGCTACTGCGGCTTTTGTTGGCTGCTACCGTTGCGTACTCATGAATTCTGTAGTGTTCAAGCCTGGAGAATGTCGGAGCCGATGCTGGGATGGTCTGGCTACAGTTTGTCTGTGAATTCAGAAACAAATATTAGTTGTACATGCTTTACAGCAGTGTTCTTCACACAGTGGTCCTGGACCACAATCTAATCTTCGACACACCAGCGTTCGACTTCTGTTTAGAAAAAATGTTCTTGTGGCTTTTAGACAGTGGTTTGAGAGTCAACCCTGGAAGACATTGGAACCTTACCACGTAATATTCCCACAGACAGTAGTGGGTGCACTGCAGATAACCTCCATTCTGGAAACAGTACATTAAAAAAAGATAGTGTGGTCAATATTATACCAGCGACCTTTAGTTTCTAGGGCATAAACTCTTTCAGTCCCACAAAGTCCTAGCTAATGTCTGAGAATGAGAATACTGAGCTCATGGGTATACTTCTTCCAGCGGGGCCAAATATACAATCATTGCAGGAAACAAATATGTTGTCAAAGTTATTCAGAGTCACTCACTAAACATAGGGTGTAATCAATAACTTGTTGACAGGTAAACATGAATCATACCCAGTCACACATAGTGTGTTGTTTGGGAGAGTTAACCATTTTAGATTGAGTCAATCTGGCAGCCAAGGTCAGTTTAAAAAAAAAATATATCACTAGATGCAGATTTGAATCCAAGACTCTCAGGCATGTGTCCAGCCACTACTCTGATCTTCTGTCTTTATCTCACTGCTTATGCCATAAAGAATCAGAGAGAGGAGTTCGATGTGGTTTCCTGACCCATGCTTGGGCTGTAAAGTGTTAAAGATGTAGCATCCTGTATTCTGTCCCACTGATTATGTCATAAAGTATCAGAGAGAGGAGTTGGATGTGGTTTCCTGGATTTTGCTAGTTGCGTAGCTTGTGTTAATGTCAAACTGCATTTCTTTAGTCTCTCTTTTACTATCTCCACCCATCTCATTCTTGGTTGCCCTCTTGCCTTGTAGCCTGCTGCTCTCAAGTAGTACGCTCTAGATGCTGGTTGATTTTGGTTCAGTTCTGAACAGATGACAAAACCCCTTTATTCTCTGATTGCTGAGTTTTATTACTGGTGACTCATCTTGTTGTTTTCCCTGCCGCATTTCTTACAAAAAACAAAACAAAAATTGCAACATCTTAGATGTCCCTACCTGGCATTAAAACACAAAGCCAGTACAAATTTGCACATTTATCAGTGGCATGCTACATGAGTTACTTTTGGCAATGTGAGTATGTTAGTGTAAAGACGAGTTACTTGGCAATGTGAGTATGTTAAGTGTAAAGACGAGTTACTTGGCAATGTGAGTATGTTAGTGTAAAGATGAGTTACTTGGCAATGTGAGTATGTTAGTGTAAAGACGAGTTACTTGGCAATGTGAGTATGTTAGTGTAAAGATGAGTTACTTGGCAATGTGAGTATGTTAAGTGTAAAGATGAGTTACTTGGCAATGTGAGTATGTTAAGTGTAAAGATGAGTTACTTGGCAATGTGAGTATGTTAGTGTAAAGATGAGTTACTTGGCAATGTGAGTATGTTAGTGTAAAGATGAGTTACTTGGCAATGTGAGTATGTTAAGTGTAAAGATGAGTTACTTGGCTATGTGAGTATGTTAAGTGTAAAGATGAGTTACTTGGCAATGTGAGTATGTTAAGTGTAAAGATGAGTTACTTGGCAATGTGAGTATGTTAAGTGTAAAGATGAGTTACTTGGCAATGTGAGTATGTTAAGTGTAAAGATGAGTTACTTGGCTATGTGAGTATGTTAAGTGTAAAGATGAGTTACTTGGCAATGTGAGTATGTTAGTGTAAAGATGAGTTGATTTTGGCAATGTGAGTATGTTAAGTGTAAAGATGAGTTACTTGGCTATGTGAGTATGTTAAGTGTAAAGATGAGTTACTTGGCAATGTGAGTATGTTAGTGTAAAGATGAGTTACTTGGCAATGTGAGTATGTTAAGTGTAAAGATGAGTTACTTGGCAATGTGAGTATGTTAGTGTAAAGATGAGTTACTTGGCAATGTGAGTATGTTAAGTGTAAAGATGAGTTACTTGGCAATGTGAGTATGTTAGTGTAAAGATGAGTTACTTGGCAATGTGAGTATGTTAAGTGTAAAGATGAGTTACTTGGCAATGTGAGTATGTTAAGTGTAAAGATGAGTTACTTGGCAATGTGAGTATGTTAGTGTAAAGATGAGTTACTTGGCAATGTGAGTATGTTAAGTGTAAAGACGAGTTACTTGGCTATGTATGTTTGTGTAAAGATGAGCTACTTGGCTACGTGAGTATGTGAGTGTAAAGAGCAGTTACTTAGCTATGTGAGTGTGATAGTGTAAAGACAACACAATCTGCTCACCCAATTACAATGGAAGTGTTCCTCTTTGCCCATGTAAGGACACGCTGAAGTGTTGCATGCCGTATCTGGCTTGAAATGGAGATACACCAGTGGTGTGATACTGTCCTGAAGCTCGTGGAACCTGGCGTGACCTCGGACACCATCCTTAGACTTGAAGACAACCTGGCAGCCTTCAGTGCGGCAGTGGTAGTGGTCTTTGTATAAGCAAGAGCATCGTGAGAAGCAAGCGTCATTGGCAGTGTATCTGAGAAAGCAGGACAAAGAAAACATGTTTTAGGATTGTCACCACCGGAGGGACATTTGGTATATTATCAGTACTCGTTATGCCTAGTGGCACATGAGGCTTCAGAGAGGACTTTCCATGCTTTCCTGTCTTGTGCAGTCTTCAGTGCAGTTCCATGTCAAAGATGCCGCACTCAGGTCACTTTCCATCGTTCGTCTCCATGTTGTTTTTGGGCACCCCTTTTTTCTCTTTCCCTCTGATGTCCACGTGAGAGTTGTTTTCGCAGGTATATCAGGATTCATTCTCATAACCTGGCCAAGCCATTTCCATCTTCAGTATATGATGCTAGATATTTTTATAAAGCATGCAGCACTTAGGAAGCTGTCATGGTGTAGCGACTAGACACTCGCTGGTGGATCTTAAAGTCATGGGTTCAGGTCTTGGCAAAGCCAGACTTAAAAAAAAAATTTACATTGGCTTCCAGATCAACCCAGCCTTAAATGGGGACCAGGTAAAGTCCTAGGAAGTAAAGGTGGCTGGTGTGATGTTGACTGCATCACCCACCAAGTGCCAATCTGTCTAAAAAATATAGGTCTAGCCCTATATGCCCAATACTCCTGGCTCCTCTTTACTTCCTAGAATATTTCAAGGTACCAGTTTTGACAAATCTTGGTCTATCTGGATAAAAAAAAAGCAAACAAAAAAGCATCTCGATGCAGATTTGAACCCACAACCTTTGGGCTGGTAGCTGAAGATCTAGCCACTAGGCAACCCTTGCTCAAACTGTCCTGTTGTGCCATGTCACATAAGGCTTGCAGTCTATTCCGCATTCGGTTCTATCGCGTGCAATAAGTTTGGTGTCACAAGTGGTTGACAAGTGTGGGGTTAACAGGTGGACTGGGAAATTTGCCACTTTTGGCCTAACACAATCCATTTCTGCATATCTTTATTTAGTCCCCTTTTACAACATGGTTATTATGCAGCAGTGGGTCAAAATTTTTGTGTGTGGATCTTTATCAAAAATAAGGCTCTGGGATGCAAGCTAAGAACCTAATCTGTTTCTTTTTCCAATGGCTGAAGAGTTTTTAACATGCTCAAAACGTTTGTAGGTCCCCTTAATGTTTACATGGGGAGTCACCGTGGCGTAGGGGCTAGAGGCTCGCGTGCGGATCAGAAGGTCGTGGGTTCACTCTCTGGCAGAGCCGGACATTTTTCAAAAATGATCTCGACTCCTAGGTCGACCTAGCCTTGAGTGGGTACCGGGTGCAGTCCCATGAAGTAAAGGTGGCCGGCGTGATGCTGACCACATCGCTTATCTTGGTCTATAAAAATATAGGTCTAGCCCTATATGCCTAAAGGTGTGAAAAAGGGACCTAATGTTTATATGTCTAGAAATTCAGGCACTAGAAGCTATAAAATATAAGAGACAAACTAAACAATGAAAATAAATAAAAACTCTTACCGAATAAGATATCTCTTCCACGACTCATCTCGTTCACGCCTTTCAGGCAACAATCTCACAGGAATATGGACACCCAGAACTTTGCCTTTGGCTGTGAGAATGGCCCGAGGAGCTCCCTGAGGAACTTGTTTGAGCAGCTGCGGGCGCTGGTCCTGAGGACTGCCATGACTAGCCACTTTCTTATCAGACTCTGGCAGAGCAGCCACAACTTTAGGGACACTAGTGTGTGCTCCTGGTGTCACTAATCTTCCAATAGCAGCACCAAGACCAACATTCCCACTTGTAACCACCTCCTTGGATTGTCTCCCATCTTGTTTTGGTACTGTCAGGTTCAAGGAATCATTGAACTTGTCCCCATCAAGAGCAATGCTGAAGGTGTTGACAAGCGTGGGCTCTTCTACCTGCCCATAATCCTTATCATCATCGTCGTCATCGTCGTCATCATCCTCATCATCATCGTAATCACCATCAAATGTTTCTGACGTTTGTGGCAAGCTATCAGAATCTGGTTCTGATTTGAAAGAGGTATCCATTTTTATACTGTCACCTTTAAAAAGTGGGCTACCTTTTTCTTTCTTGGGCAATGACAGATCTTGTGGCTCATCCGTGAATTCCAAGATCCTTATCTGAGCCTCACCAGCAGCTTCACACTTTGGTTCCTGTTTCACATACCTTTCCCCATTAACCTCAGACTTCAGCTCGTTTTTGACGCCCACTATGTTTGATCGAAATGTTTCTCCGGACAGTTTTACTGGCAAAGTCAAGGTCTGCCGCAATTCCTCTTTGTCTTTTTGTCCTACTCCTCCCCGTGCAGTGAGTTTCAGTACGTCATTAGCTGCTACATGAGCGTGAGAATAATGAGGCAAAGTCAAGGTTTGCCGCAATTCCTCTTTGTCTTTTTGTCCTTCTCCTCCCTGCGCGGTGAGGTTCAGTACTTTGTCGGTTGCTACATGAGTCTGAGAAAAATGAGGCAAAGTTTTCCCAGCCAACAGCAAAGATCCAGGCGATGGGAAGTTGGGGTTCAGAACTGGCTTTCTAATGGCATTGCTAATAAGGCTCAGTGAGGTGGAGTTTCCAGTCTGCAAACTCTGTCAAAAAAGAAAATAATTGCAAAGAATCAAAGCAATGCTCCATATTGTGGATTTGAACAAGGGAGAACAAACAACACATTACACAATATATTGCCTGGCATATTTTGCTGTATCCGTCAGATGCCCACTACAGTAACAACTTATTAAAATGACATACACAAATGAATCTTTCACAAATAAAACACAGAATTTTAAAATCAAACTATGCTAGATATACCAAAGGCATAAAAGGGATTCTTTATATTTTATAAACTGCTTGGCAGCGAAAGAGTTAATTACTACAGCACAAGTGTTTTTGTGGCAAAGTAGACTGATAAAAAAAAAGTTGCATATCCTTTAAAGGTTGTTTTAGAACCAACCCAGGCATTTTTGGTTGTCTGCCATTTCACTAGACAATTTACATTCATAGTTTGCCAGTACTTGCTAAATGGTCGGAGGTCTGCTGCTGAATTGCTGGCAGCCTGGATCTAAACCGGCACTCCGGAATTACAAGGATGTTCCCAACGCTCAAGCAACAGACACCGACCCAAAGTAGATCAGCTGGTTTATGTATGATGTCAAGGCTATGGGTTCAGTTTCTGTTACCGAGATCATTGGTGCGGTATCACTACTGAAGCTATAGAGTTGTGAGTAACCTTGTCAGCGAGCACTCAACCACTTTGCGGCGAGAGACTTCTTTTTTTTTTCTGCATTTATTCTTAAATTAAAGAAAGAAAAAAGGATGGGCTGGCCAAACAGTTGAGAATACAGGGCTCCCCTACGAGAGATCTATGTTAGATTCTTCTGTAAGGTTTGGGATTTTTGTCTATCGAGGACAAAAACGAAATTCTAACCTGCACAGTCCATAACGACAGCACTAGATATGCAGCATTAAATCCTCAGGCTCAAAGATTACCCCCCCCTCCCCCATCACTAGCGGGCACTTACACCACAAAAGTGGTACATACAAGCAGTAAAAGCAGTTTTTTAAAGGCCCTTAAAAAGTTGTTAGCATTTCGTGTCATGGTTTACAGCTAGGCTGTTTTTCAGTTTAACAGATCTGATTTTAGCAAACCCTTAAATAGTTGCCTTTTATGACATACTTCTATTTATTTTTCCCCCTATTTATTATGAGGCAGTAATTCTATTCATTTCCAACTTCCAAAATGGGGACCGGGAACAGCCACTATGTTTACAGACTTTTCTTCTGTATCTGTCCTTAACCCTTTCACCCAGGTAAACTGACAAAAAAAAAATGGTCAAGACCCTGATGGAATTCCATTAAAAATCCTAGAATAAACACAGGCCACCAACTAATTAGTTTCAAATTTATTATTCTATATTTTAAAATGTTTTTTAAATATATAAAGACACATGAAATAAAAATGAAAATGATGGGGCATTAAATAGAATACATTTCCCAAGGCCTTAGAAAAACCATATGAATTGAGTGATTGATGCTATATGACCTGTGACCTCAATCACTGAGACTACAGGAAAATTTGATATAAACTTGGCTTTAAAAAAAGCTTTTGGGCTTCAAGGAGAACCCATTAAATGATGTTTTTAGTTAATGCAGCCATTTCATGACCTCCTAAATGTTTGCACAGGCGCAAACACAGCCAATGGCATTAAATATGTGTCTCATAAATAGGTCAGCATAGGCAAGTCACAAAAGTGACATTGACAGGAAATGGGCCCAGCCAGAAGTGTTGGCTTAGTGGCTTCTTGAGGTGAAAGGGTTAACAAAGTGGCTGGCAAGTTGTGCTGTGGTGTACAGTTAGGCTGCCTTACAGCCCAACATATCTGTCACTTTTATTACTACATACTCATCAAGGAGTAGTGGTTCAATTCTTGTTTGCTCAAAAAATAAGGGCCTAAGAGCAGCCACTCTGTAACAAGAGAGTTGAGTCATGTGTATAAAAATCACTTCAATAAAGTCAATCCTTTCACCCATAAAAACTTTTTACCTACTGAAATAATATGCACTGCAAGTAAAAGTAAAAGACCCTTTTCAACGCCTTTAGAGGGCATATAAGGCTAGACCTATATTTTATAGACCAATGGGTGATGTGGTCAGCATCACGCCGGCCACCTTTACTTCCCGGGACTACACCCGGTACCCACTTAAGGCTGGATTGACCTGGAAGCCAAGGTCATTTTTGAAAAAAGTCGGGCTCCGCTAGGGAGCAAACCCACGACCTTCCCACTCCCATATGCACCGTACATCAGCAAATATATATACATACACATTTTTTTTTTTTTACTTACAAAATATGACAGATACTAACACAGACTCTGACATCAGCTACCTGTTTCTTGTCATTTCCAGCGGGGTGTCCTGACATCTTGCCTACCATCTTTACACTGGCTACAGCCGCTGCTGGAAGAGGAAGTATCTTAGTCTGATTTATCAGTGCATGGTTCAGTAAGGGAGACTTCTCCCCATTCTGTCCTTCGCTTTTGATGCCAGAGCTTGGCACTTTCTGCTGCAAGTTTCTGAAAGTGCGGTAAGTGTGGTCAAATTCCCGCCTTTCATGCTTGCGTTTGTGAGAATACAGCTGGGCAGTGGAGTGTAGCACATACTGGCAGCCTAGAACAAGACAGAAGTAGAGATTAATTTAGTCATGGTTGTCCATATGCTGCAGAAACATACAGCTGATTTAGTCTCCATATGCTGCAAAAACACAGAAACATAAAGTTGAATTATTCTCCATATAATGTAGTCACACAGAAATTTAAAGCTGATTTAGTTAAGATAATCTAGATAACACAGAAACATTATGCTGGTTTAGTCTAGGTTATCCATATGCTGCGGCAACACAGAAATATAAAGTTTGTCTTGTCTCCATATGCTGCAGTAAGATAGAAAAATAATGTTGGTTTAATCTTCATATGCTGCAGTAACACAGAAACATAACTTTAGTTTAGTCTCCATATGATGCAGTAACACAGAAATGTTGGTTTAGTCTCCATATGCTGCAGTAACACAGAAATGTTGGTTTAGTCTCTATATGCTGCAGTAACACAGAAACATAACTTTGGTTTAGTCTCCATATGCTGCAGTTACACAGAAACATAACTTTGGTTTAGTCTCTATATGCTGCAGTTACACAGAAACATAACTTTGGTTTATTCTCTATATGCTGCAATAACACAGAAACATAACTTTGGTTTAGTCTCTATATGCTGCAGTTACACAGAAACATAACTTTGGTTTAGTCTCCATATGCTGCAGTTACACAGAAACAGAACTTTGGTTTAGTCTCTATATGCTGCAATAAAACAGAAACATAACTTTGGTTTTGTCTCTATATGCTGCAATAACACAGAAACATAATTTTGATTAAGTCTCCATATGCTGCAGCAACACAACTTTAGTCTAGTCTCCATATGCTGCAGTAACACAGAAATGTTGGTTTATTCTCCATATGCTGCAGTAACACAGAAACATAACTTTGGTTTAGTCTCCATATGCTGCAGTAACACAGAAACATAACTTTGGTTTAGTCTCTATATGCTGCAGTAACACAGAAATGTTTGGTTTAGTCTCCATAGTCTCCATTTGCTGCAGTAATACAGTTACACATAAATGTTGGTTTAGTCTCCATATGCTGCAGTAACACAGAAACATAACTTTGGTTTAGTCTCCATATGCTGCAGTAACACAGAAACATAACTTTGGTTTAGTCTCTATATGCTGCAGTAACACAGAAATGTTGGTTTAGTCTCCATATGCTGCAGTAACAGAAATGTTGGTTTAGTCTCCATATGCTGCAGTTACACAGAAATGTTTGTTTAGTCTTTAGTTTCGGTATTGGTCTCTCAATAAAATTCTAAGAAAATTATTATTTTTCTAAAATTATGGTCGCAGAAACCAGGTGCAGCCTAAACATTAGTGCGGCTAATACATGGGTGCAGCCTATACTTGCGCGTGGCCTATACACAAGTAAATATGGTATAATAAGGGCCCCTGTAATGGCTAGACTAGCCTGGTGTAACCTGCAGGCTTGTCCTGCGATTTGCAATTCGGAGAAAAATCAAAAGAAGGAGAAGAGGTACAAACCTGGCCTAATACAATGGATATGGTTGCTGATCTTTGAATAGCGGCATCCACTGAAAGAGCAAGTCTCATATTTCATGAACTTCTTGAATCCATCTCTACTCAACACTTCATCTTTCTGATGGTAGCTCTTATGTTTTTCTGAAAATATTTCAACGGTCATCTATTTAGACAAACTAAAGGGTAACTGTCAATGGGACAATCCACAAGCAAGCTGATAAGCTTAGGTATTTGGGTGCCCTGATAACAGCAGATGGTTTGAGGTTTCAACAACGGACAAACATCATGGCACACGGGGAGTAACCTGTAAGTGCTCACTTCTTCTTCTAACTCAAGTCTAAGTCCGAAGAAGCTCAGCACAGTGCACAAGCTCTGTAGGATCTTGAAATACTTTGGGTAGATTTTTAACTCAAAATTTTGCCTGGGCAGCGCAGTTAGGTTACTCTTTTTTATTTCCAACTGTCAAGGAATCTTTTACGAGCACAACAATGCACACGGGCGTCTGATCTCACTACCCAGAGACCAGGGGGAATTACTAAAGTCCAAGTCCAATTGAAAAAATCCCAGCTCTTACCGGGAATTGAACCCTGAACCTCTAGCACTCGAGGGGGACACCATGCCTCGAGACCACCCCCAGCCGCCTATAACAGCAGATGGAAGATACACATTAAGTGCAAAATTGCTCCAGCAAAGGCAACATTTGACAAAATGAAGAATATTTTATGCAATCCTTCTATGTCAACTGAGGTGACAAAGAGAATTCTCCAGAGCTTTATAAATCCTTTCCTGAATAACGGAAGTGAATCACGGACAGTTGGCCAGTTAGTAAAAAAATATCTGAAACTGGTGGAAATGTGGTTCTAAAGATGAAAGATAAGAACACCCTGGACAGATAAAAAGAGTAAGTCCTAGGCGTCTGTCCACTTCTGGACTTTGGTCTTGTTCCATAATTTGAGTTTTGCAAGCACATTCGTTTTATTGATCTGGCTTATCTGTATGCAGACTTCTGGCTTCTGGCATCTCGAGCAGGTGCACTCTGAAGGAAAAAACCCACTGACTAATGGCCTTTTATGACATGCTTATTAATGGGGCAGTGAGTCTATCCCCCCTTCTAGCTCTTAATGGAGCACAGGCCCTCAACCAACTCACGCTAAGCCGTTCTATTCTTTGCTATCGCATGCAGCTCTCCCCATCTTTTTAAATTCATTCTCTAGCTCAATTCTTCATGTGTTTTTTTTTTTTGGGGTGGGGAGCTGGCAGTGGTGTAATCAACTGCTACTACACAAGAATCACTACAGAATTGCAACACTAACAGCACAAGAAGGGAGTGAAAACTAGTGAGAGTGCAGTCAGACTAAGCTGCATACTGGGTGGAAGGCGAGGGGAAAACCAAGAAAGAGGTGGATAAATGGTGTAGCCGAAAACTGTAAAAAAATTAACAAATCCACCACCCAAGCCACCAGAGAAGCGCAGGATAAATACAGAAAAGCAAGATACTGGGCTACAACAAGGTATCAGTGAGACAACGAAGAAGAAGAAAGAATTAATGTAATAACTCTTTATGTGTAAATTCTAAAGCACAATCACCAGAGATATCACAAAAGACTTGTATCTACTGTAAAAGTCTTATACATAAATTCAGTAGCAGATTCAACATATTCAATGAAAAGCCCAAAGAGCTAGATCAGTTGGTTAAACCAGCTGCATGGCGACCGGGTGACAAACTACTTGTGGTCCGAGTTCACACTTGGGGGGTAGGCAGAAAAGTAACATATTTCCAAGATTCATGGTATCTATCACGGAATCAAGGCCGAAGGGTTGCAATATTCATAGTACCGAGCCAAAAAGTTTATAATTCAATTTTTCTGGATCAATTTACCAAAAAAACAAAAACAAAAATTCAATGAAAGACTTTTACCCATGTCAGCTTTATTCTTAAATGTAAAGTTACACTGAGCTCGTCTGCAATGGAAATGAGTTGTGCGTTGTCCATGGAATGAACAGGATGTTGTGCCGCAGTCTTCAGTGGCTCGAAACCTCTGAAAGCCTTCCTGGATGATGGCAGAGTCTTTGCGATGGAAGTTGGCATGCATCTGCACATCGGAGGTACTGACATAGACTTTATCACAGTCTCCCTGCAATAATTGACACATTTACACATACTGATTAGAACTCAGAGACGTAGAGAAGAAGATGAGGAAAGAAGCTGAAGATAGAAGTAGAGGTAAGGTACTGACCAGAAGCAACGTAACCAACACCATACGTGACACACATGGTGAAGTCAAACATGATGAAAGGCATGACTCCGCATCCCTGTCCAGGTTGGTGCAGATGGGTGCGCAACCTGGAACTGTCGGACACGAGCATTTGACTAAGGGAACAAGATATTTGGTTAATCAACAGAGAATAGGGTCCCCGTGTGGGTTCTCGGGCCTCATTTTGTAGGAAATAGAACAGACCCAATGCCCAAAACAATCATGTTGCAAAAGTCGACTAATTAGAGTCTGAGTGCATCTGTCTGTGACATGAAGAACAAACAATCTGCATACAAATGAGTAAGATCTGTGAAACGGAGGTGCATGCAAAACTGACATTCTGGAACAACACTAAAGTCTAGAAGTGGATAAACAACCAAAACTTTCTCGCAGGAGTTTGCAGATGGTGAAAGCAAAGAAGAAGAGAGAATAGGCATGAATAGTCATAATACGCTCGCAAAGTTGCGGAGGAAAAAATCAGAACGCTCCGGGATCAGTCCAGTGTGCTGTAGTGATAGTCCTCGCCAATCACTAAGCATTGACTGGGACACAAAACAGTTAATTATGACCCCCTGTGGGTTCCAGGGCCCTATTATAGGGAAAACAAGAACAGACCCACTGCCTACCTAAAAGCATGTCATAAGAGTCAACTAATTGGGAGCTTCCTTCGAAGTCAGAGTGCATCTGACTGAGAGGCAAGGAACCAGCAGTCTGCATACAAATTAGCCAGATCTGTCAAACCGATGCATGCGCAAGACTCAGGTTTTGGAACAGGACTGCAGTCCAAAAGTGGATGAACAACCAAAACTTTCCGCCGGAGTTTACAGCTGGCGAACATGAAAAAGAAGAAGAAGTTAATTATGAAGCCAACATATGAAAACTTTGTGACATTTTCAATTTATTAATTCTGACTGTCCTTTTTGCTAGACCTGACCATTTTATCCTCAATGTGTCTTCTGAATTACAAAATGTGAGATGTATTTAAAAAAATGCGGTGGGAAAAACAAAAAGAGGCAGAGTCATCAATTAAAAACTAAGAGAAAAAAAAGTAGGCACAGTACTGGTAAATGATTGTACAGATCATGAAAGAATCAAATGGTTTGGTCATCTGTTTTCTTTTATCATGTTGACCAACAGACTCACAAAGGGCCATCTGATCTATAAGAATTTAAGTCCAGCAACATACATTCACAACAATTCATGCCCAGGTGATCTGATTATCTATACAGATTGTTCGGTGTTGAGAGGAAAGAAAAGTGCCTGGGGGTTCGTAGCGAAAGCCAGTGGAAAATCTTTAGTACAGGACAGCCTAGCATATGACATCACAACATCTAGCATGAGAAAGGAGGTGGAGGTGGTAACTGCAGCTCTCTGGTGGCCAGGGTGCATACACATGTCGTAACTGCAAAAGACTCTGAAGGCATGCTGAGGAAGGTGAAGACAGGGATGTTTCGAGCAGAGTGGCAAGCTTTACTGGGAAGGGAAGGTCACGGATAGTGAGCATACTTTAGATCTTTTCTATAGGTTATGCTGACATAGTGGGCAATGAAGAGGTAGACAGTTCCCAACTCATTCAGTAGCAGGCAACACAGTATCCCTCATGTAGTAACTCCTTTGACTGCATGCTCTTGTTCAAGTTCTCGTGTCTCATAATATAAGAAGCTGCTGGAGAAATTAACTCAGGAGATATTTAAAAAAAAAAAAGTAAAAGTAAAAGACCCTTTTCTAGGCCTTTTGGGCGTATTGGATATACTGAGCTAGAGCTGTATTTTATAGACCAACGGCAGTTGGTGGGTGATGTGGTCAGCATCATGCCGGCCGTCTTTACTTCCCACCTGGTACCCACTCAAGGCTGGGTCAACCTGGAAGCGAAGGTTATTTTTGAAAAAAGTCCGGCCCCACCATCAGGAACCGAAACCCTGACATCTGATCCCCAGGCAAGCATCTAGCCGCTAGACCACTGCGGCACCAAAAAAGAATGGCATGGACTATCATAAGAAGAATGAGTACATACCTGAACACAATGATAATGGGTCTGCCTGCCATTGTGAGTACAGTTTCCATGTTTTTTGCTGCAATCATCCAGTGGGCTGTACCGCATGAAACCATGCTGCAAGGAGTCATTTCGCTTTCTGTGCCACTTGTAATGTCGGACCGTCTCCTCCTTACGTATAAACACCTGCCCAGGAAAAAATACAGGATATTCTACGTAATCTCTGATGCCATCGATAACGACAGTACTTCACTTTGAGTCTACCTGCCTATCTGCATTGTTTGTCTAGCTTCACTTATTATGGCCTGGGAATGCTTACCGTCTCAAAGAGCCAGATGGACAAACTGGAGCGCATACAGAATGCAGCAAATGTGGTGTGTATGTGATACATCCTTGGTTTGCCGACTGTTGCAGGTAGGCACAAGGTGCTGCAGGCGAAGTCAAATCTCAGGGTAGCTGCAGACACAGACCACCCTTTGCACGAAGCTCTGGGTGCAGTTAAGGGTCAGCGGCTGATAAGAGGGAAGTCATGGATGGCTCAGGCAGAAGACACAATTTGACAGGTTTGAATCCTTGAGAACATTAGGCGAGGAGAGGAGTGGGTCAAAGTGCCACATGAACAGTCAGACTTGTGTAGGGTCATAATTACACTGAGCCAGGAATGCAGAGACTGGCCAGCAGGTGCCACAGAGGTGGAAATTCAGCAATTAATTCAAGATAATGCTCGCTCAGAAGATTTGATCATTTACACAGATGGTTCAGTGTCAAGAGGCAAAAGAAGTGCTTGGGGAGCAAAAGTTAATGGTCGACGTTTGGTGCAGAAGAGCTTAGCATATGATACCACAACGTCCAGCTTAAGAATGGAGGTGGAGGCGGTCACTGCAGCTTTCTGCTGGCTAGAGAACACGACACATATACATCGTGATTTTAACTGACTCAGAAAGCATGCTGAGGAAAATCAGGACAGGCATGCTTCGTGCAGAGTGGCATGCTTCGGTGCGGAAGACACGGGTGAGCAGTATTGTCTGGATTTTTTCACCAGGGTAGACAGGTGTGGTTCACATCTGCCTCATCAACTTTCAATTTTAGCTTCACATCTGCCTCATCAACTTAAAATTCTAGCTTCACATCTGCCTCATCAACTTTCAATTTCAGCTTCACATCTGCCTCATCAACTTTAAATTCTAGGTTCACATCAGCCTCATCAACTTTCAATTCTAGTTTCACATCTGCCTTATGAACTTTCAATTCTAGCTTCACATCTGCCTCATCAACTTTCAATTCTAGCTTCACATCTGACTCATCAACTTTCAATTCTAGCTTCACATTTGACTCATCAACTTTCAATTCTAGCTTTACATCTAACTCATCAACTTTCAATTCTAGCTTCACATCTGCCTCATCAACTTTCAATTCTAGCTTCACATCTGACTCATCAACTTTCAATTCTAGCTTCACATCTGACTCATCAACTTTCAATTCTAGCTTTACATCTAACTCATCAACTTTCAATTCTAGCTTCACATCTGACTCATCAACTTTCAATTCTAGCTTCACATCTGCCTCATCAAATTTCAATTATAGGTTCACATCTGCCGCATCAACTTTCAATTCTAGCCTCATATCTGCCACATCAACTTTCAATTCTAGCTTCACATCTGTGACATCAACTTTCAATTCCAGCTTCACATCTGCCTCATCAACTTTCAATTCTAGCTTCATTTCTGACTTTCAATTCTAGCTTCACATCTGCCTCATCAACTTTCAATTCTAGCTTCATATCTGTCTCATCAACTTTAAATTCCAGCTTCACATCTGCCTCATCAACTTTCAATTCTAGCTTCACATCTTCACATCTGCCTCATAAATTTTCAATTCTAGCTTTACATCTGCCTTATCAACTTTCAATTCTAATGTTTAATTGACAAGACAGACAATGTTATGCCGGCAAAAACAAACACATGTACAATCCTCTTAAATACCTTCTGTGGACAATCCAGACAATGGTAGTGATCTCTGTAACCAAGATCCAAGCACACTTTTCCTCCACAGTCAACACCAGTGCCATATCTAAAAGACAATTATACAACAAAATCAAGCAAGCAATATACTTTCTTCAAATATGCAAAAGTCACTGCAGTTTCTCCTAACAAAATCAAGCAAGCAAATTATACTCTCTCCGAACATGCAAAAGTTACCTACCTACACATTAACATCATTGCTTATTCTTCTACCCTTTATCCCCAATACAGGCTCTCAACCAACTCACACCAAGATGTCCTATCCTTTGCATGCAGCTTACTCCATGTCCTCCCAATCCTTTTAACTTTACTCTCTTATCCCCACACAAATTCACACAAAAATAACACAACTGTAGGTCTAGACTACATCAAGCGAATGCAAGAAGGAGAAGAAGAAGCAACAGCACCCCAGCAGCAGGAGGAGGAGGAGGGAGGAGAAAGAAGAAGAAGAAGAAGAAGAAGAAGAAGAAGAAGAAGAAGAAGAAGAAGAAGAAGAAGAAACTGATGATGATGATGATGATAATGCTTCATAAAATATTTAACCCTATAGTTCGAAAATTCAAAAATTAATGTGATCTGAAGGAAAGAGATGATTCATTTTGAAACTGTCATGTTCAAGATGTGACCAAACTTTATGTCTTTACACTATTGATAGCAATTATCCATGTTAAAAATCTATTTTTCACCAGCATATTATATGAGATCTTTCAAATTTAAACCTGCCACTGTGCAGTACTAGGCATAAAAATATAACAGCTGAAATATAGACATTAGCCTTAGGTAGGCGAACGCTAGAAAAGTACAGAAATGGAACGAACGAACGAACGAACAAACAAACTTTAGTTTCAAAGGGTTAAGAATTGGGCACGCAGGCCTGTCTAACATTCTGGAAGACAAAGGAAGATGTTATGTGGAACGCTAAAATATTAGATAACACAGTGGATAGATAGGAGATTCATGACTGTCAGTGTCTGACCAGACTTCATTAAAATATTAGATAACACAGGGGATAGATAGGAGATTCATGACTGTCAGTGTCTGACCAGACTTCAATAAAATATTAGATAACACAGAGGATAAATAGGAGATTCATGACTGTCAGTGTCGGACCAGACTTCATTAAAATATTAGATTACACAGGGAATAGGAGATTCGTGACTGTCAGTGTCTGACCAGACTTCATTAAAATATTAGATAACACAGGGAATAGGAGATTCATGACTGTCAGTGTCTGACCAGACTTCATTAAAATATTAGATAACAGATGAATAATTAGATGAATGAAAAATCAGCATCACTGCACTCAGACAATCTCACTGGGAATAGTCATGCTAGTGAATGTTTGAATGAATGAAAAATCAGCATCACTGCACTCAGACAATCTCACTAGGAACAGTCATGCTCGTGAATGTTTGAATGAATGAAAAATCAGCATCACTGCACTAAGACAATCTCAATAGGAACAGTCATGCTCGTGAATGTTTGAATGAATGAAAAATCAGCATCACTACACTCAGACAATCTCAATAGGAACAGTCATGCTCGTGAATGTTTGAATGAATGAAAAATCAGCATCACTACACTCAGACAATCTCACTAGGAACAGTCATGCTCGTGAATGTTTGAATGAATGAAAAATCACTGCACTCAGACAATCTCACTAGGAACAGTCATGCTCGTGAATGTTTGAATGAATGAAAAATCAGCATCACCTCACTCAGACAATCTCACTGGGAACAGTCATGCTCATGAATGTTTGAATGAATGAAATATCAGCATCACTGCACTCAGACAATCTCAATAGGAACAGTCATGCTAGTGAATGTTCGAATGAATAAAAAATAATCATCACTACACTCAGACAATCTTACTAGGAACAGTCATGCTAGTGAATGTTTGAATGAATGAAAAATAATCATCACTACACTCAGACAATCTTACTAGAAACAGTCATGCTCGTGAATGTTTGAATGAATGAAATATCAGCATCACTGCAGTCAGACAGTCTCACTGGGAACAGTCATGCTCGTGAATGTTTGAATGAATGAAACACCAGCATCACTGCACTCAAACAATCTTACTGGGAACAGTCATACTTGTGAATAAACAAAACAAACAAATGAATGGATCAATTAAAAACTGGACAACACTGCTTTTAAGACATTCTCACTATTTCCGATAGATGGATCAAAGAAGAAGAAGAAGAAGAAAAAGGAGCCATCTAGTGCCAAGCTGATAAAAGGTCCATTTATCATGCTTGTTTTAAGTGACATTCTACAAACCTTTTGATGTATTTGGTGAAGTCAGAGGAGTTGAGAACCTTCTGGGTGTAGGATTTTTTGCTGAAGGCATATTTGACTGTCCTTGCAGCCGGCCCCTGGGATGTGTCTGCAAAACTCACCGTCTCCTGAGTATCTGATGAGCTGGTAGATGCACTGCTATTGTCTGAAACATACAAACAAGGAAAATGGGGGGTTAAGAATATAATCATAATGCATGCAGTAGCAGAGGTGGTTTTTTAAAGATCATTGATGACAATACCACGGACAGATAAAAAGAGTAATGAAAATGTCTTGAAAGAAACAAACAAAAAATTAAACTGCCTCTAACCAACTGCCCACATAAGAAGCAGACAATCTTCATTCAATGGAAATGTCATGAGAAAGAGAAAACTGGAGTACACTGTGATGGTGGGAAAGCTGGAGGGGAAATGGTACTTAGTACTGGCACATATTTTAGGCATTTTTTTCCTCCGCAGCACTACTGTAATGGACACTTTGAGGGCAGTAATGGCACTTTTTTATACACTCTGTGGTGGGTACCAGCACCCTGCTTACATACACTACCGAAAACTCTACACAAGGTTTCAGATTATCAGAAGAGGACTGACCCTCCAAGGGGTGGGCCCAGCTGGATCCTGACATCTGGGTATCTTTCTGCTGTTGTGCATTTTCAATACTTTTCCCCATGTGGGTTCCAGAGCTACATTTTGGGAGACAAAAGAATTGACCCACTGCTCCTTAGCAAGCATGCTGTAAAGGGCAATTAATTAGGAATCTTCTGAAATCGGATATGATGGGCAAAACGAGGCAAATCCTGCAGCTTAGCTGTAAACTACAACAAAATGTTAAGTTTTGTCTGAGCTGACCTGTCAGCCAAGATTAGTTATAAAAATGTACCGCAATAAGGGTCCAAACACGAGACCTCCGGGTTCAGCAGGCAAACGTATAGCCACTGTGCTACTGCAGCTCAAAGTATACATTAGGATTTCAAGTAACCGACTCCCTTGGATGGAAAGAATTAAACCTGCAGTGTTTCTTTCTTGCAAGCATCATTTTTTCCAGTGCCACCATAACAGACTCTTCTGGTGCGTACTAACACCTTTTATTAGATATTCTGTGATAAGTAATGACACCTTTTTCTCAACAACAACAAAAAAACCTGCCTATGCTCCCTAGACAAGCACGGTGATAAAGCAAGGGTTCGCTAAAAATCTGATGTGTTGGTCGGAAAGGAAAATATATCACAGCCCAGCTGTAGATCACAACATAATGCGTCAACCACCCTTACAAGGCGGAAAACAGAATAAGAAGAAATCTGCAATAGAAATCCACAAAACTTATACTGATATATACTTTTGTGTGTGTTCCACAATTTAAAACACAAAAGAAACATAGAAGAATGATCCCAAGAAAAAAGACATTAAAACCAACAATAATTTATATTGTTAGAACAACAATAAACGCATCTGAGGCTGTGAAAACATTTGTTAGCTGCTAATGTCAAGTGACACTGGAGACATTGTGAAACAAGACAAACCATTTTATCCAGGTGAATACAGTGATAATGCACAGTTTGCCCATAAAATTTACTGACATTCTTTCAAAGGCTCTGTATAACCTGCAGCAGACAGCAGTTTCACCTGATCCTGATGTGCTTACCATGGGTTTAAAAAAACTTTGGAAGTGAATTTATTCACACATAAGAAATAATAATTACACAAGATTCACTGGCTTACACAAACGAGGCATGAATACAGTGTTAGTTAGTTAGTCTTTCCTCTTGGGTCTAGGGAGGCGGATAGGGCAGAGGTCATAGCTCTTTATGTCTGAGGGTTCTTTGCCACCTGCTTTTGGTCTTGGATGTTTGTTTGGCTCATAGCTGAGTCTTCCTTGATAAAGGTTCTACACACAGTCTGTCTTGGTCTTCCTCATTTTATTTTTCCCTTCTGGTGTCCATATGAGGGCTAGACAGGGGAGTCTTGTCTTATCCATTCTGAGTGCATGGCCACTGTAGTTCCAGCGGCACTTTCTTATACAACTGTACATTCTCTAGCTTGATCTCTTGTCTTGTTTGTGTATTAGATCTGAAATCTGTCCAGTGGGGATTTAGTATTCTTTTAAGACTATCTGTTTTTAAAACTGTTGAATTTTTTTTATCTAGAAATACCAATTTGTCCTAAAACAGTCTGGAGATGGTCTGTTTTCTCTCAGATATCTGGGTGCATTCAACTCAAACGCACTATGTGGTCAGCAAAGTCAATGTCTTCTAGAATTTTTTCAACCCATTTGACACCCATATATGTGTTGTTTGTGCATTTGCACATGTCTTAATCAACTGCAATGGCAAAGAGCATCAGTGATAGGACACAGTCTTGTTTCACTCTAGTTATCACTGGGAACCAGTCAGAGTAGCCGAATTCTGTTCTTACTGTTTTTCATAGTAGAAGGATTGTATGTCGGTGATGAATTTGATAGGGAACCCATAGATTTTAAGTAGTTTGCAAAGTATAGGACGGCGGACACTGCCGAAAGCTATATGAAAGTCGGCAAAGCTGATCATTAACCATGACTGAAATTCTATGGATTCTTCAATGATTGCTCTGAGGGTGAAGATGTGGTCTACGCATGACCGTTTTGATCGGAAGCCTGCTTGCTCTTCTCTTAGCCTTTCATCGAAAGACTTTTTCAATCTCTCAATTAACATGCTACAAACAAGTTTTCCTGGCACTAAAAGAAGAGTGATACCACAACAGTTATTATAATCAGGCAGAACACCTTTTTAGGCAGTTTGAAAATGACACTTTTTTTCCACTGTTGTGGTTGGAATTCATTTTTGCCAGATTTAATTAATCTCTGTCATTTACTGGTTCATATATCTGATTTGTGATCTGCTTTAGGTGACATGATGATAGCGGCTCTGTTCAAAAGGTGGTTGCCGGATCTTACCGAATAAATTATGTGTATTTGTTCGTAGTTAAGGAACGACTTACCTGAGAGTATCTGCGATTGTATTCGTTCAAACACAATACACTTGAGTTGTTTTTTCCTATCTGATACCTAGTTGTAACGTTCCAATAACCAGTTCTGAAGAATATAGTGTATTCAGATACCAATGGTTCTTCTTCGTTTCTTTCGTCCGAGTGATGTAATTGCACTGTGCCTGTTTATATCTTACATCCGACTTAATCGGGCAATTTTTTTTAATCAGGTCAGCCTTTCCGGAAGGTTTTGTGGGATACAGTGCTGCCTTTTTTGTACGGTATCCTCTCTGCACCTTTATCTATAGGTGCTGCCCCTGGAGAACCCACCCAGTGCAGCTGTGTGAAGACTAGTTGGTCCTCAAGGGATGGCAGGGGCAAATCTTGGGCATCCCCCACGGTCCAAACAAGCATTATAAATGCAGGGCCAACGCATGACACTCGGATGCTACAAAACCTCGTCCCCAAAATGGAACGCACTTTTTGTGTGTGTTATTTAAAAAGCCCTACCCCGGCTGTAGTCGGGGAACCTAATATAACGGAGCGGTTGAAAGGGGTTCCTGGGACTTGTACTAGGTGATTCGCATCCGAAGGGTAGCACTTTGTGTCACCAGGTATTTATCACTCGTTGTGCGGTCCTGGCGGTATTGGACGTCACTCACTCATGACACACTGATTATGGGCCCACCCTAGGAATCAACACATCCTGCACTTGAAAGGGGTGTCTGTTTATCTGCGTGCCGTCGCGCCTGCCTGCACATAAACAGTGTGTTGATTTGTTAGCCCGCAGCTCTGGCATAAATGCTCCAGATCAGAGCAAACCTCACACTTCCATTAGGCAGCTGTTCTACTGTACATCATTACCCTAGCAGCCACTTACGGTTTAAAACTATATTTTTTAATATATATATATATATATATATATATATATATATATATATATATATATATATATATATATATATATATATATATATATATATATTATATATATATATATATATATATATATATTAGTATCCAGAAACGATGAGTTGTAAACCCTTGGCTCGGTACTATGGATATCGCAACCCCTCGGCCTTAATTCCATTATAGGTACTGTTAATCTGAGAGAAATGTGGCTTTTCTGCCTACCCCCAGGAGTGAACCCGAACCATAAGGAGTTCGTCACCCGGCCGCCGCGAAAGTCAGGTTTAACCTACAACGCTGGAGAGGCGGGCATATTTTTAATATAAACACATACACAACACACATCAAAATGTTTCCTTTACACAGAGAAAGAACCATTAAAAAAAACATTCGGTCATACCCGCCCACTTCTTAAAAGACTAAGACCACACTTGAACAAAGCACACCCTGCTTCAAACATACCTTGTGTTCACGTGGTAATATCTGATGTGACACAACACAAACGATCAAAACATTCCCAGTATAATGGAGAACCGAGAAAATGAACAATACCACAGAAAAGGCAGTTAAAAGAAGAAAACAAATCAATTTCCGACATATTTTAATTTCAACCCAACCCCCCTCCCCCACTGCCTTTCTTTCCCCCACCGAAATAAAAGTAAGATTGAGTGATACACACAATCAAGTATTCCCCTACTTCGGCTGAGATCACATTAAATTTGCATTACCAATTATATGCTAACAAAACTGTTTTAATGTAATTGCTGTATCTGAAAAAAAAAATTAAAAGCAAAACAGAAATGACATTTTCTGTAAAAAGCCTACATTGCTGTGGGTTTTGTAATTAATGTCTGATTTTCTTCCTCCTATGCAACAACAAACTAAGGTCGACACTTGTATTTCTCATGAGCAAATACAAAAATAAAAAGGTAGGGTAAAGAAATGCTACATGAAAACTGCATAGCCTTTGAATAGAATACAGCAGTAAGAATAACTTTTTTAAAATTTTAAAACAAAGTATAACTTCTAGCTTCAGGTTGTAATGACATTTCATAGCTTATATACCCACAGTGATTCTCAAATTGTGTGGACTCCGGACAGATACGTGACTGCTCCTTCCAGAACACGGTCTCCTGGGACCAGAAAGGAGGGGGGGGGGCGGAATGTCGTAAACGTACCGTGTCAGCTTACAAAGGCGTTATTTTGTAGTGAAATCACTGCAGTGGTTCTCTAACAGTGCGGACTGTGAACATCCGTAAACGCCTGTCC